AAACTCTGTCTTTGATGTGCCTCTGCAGACCTGAATGGTGTCTGATCTAGAGTGGGACTTGTGGTTATCACTGTAACAACAAAAACAGTTGTGGTGGTGTTTGGGACAGAAGTGATACATACACTATTTTTATATGCTCTATATCTAATTAGTGCATTTTCTATACAAACCGATTCCTGTTTATGTTTCCCACAGTGTGTTTGCTGTCCTATGTTATGGCTATCATTATTCCAAATGAAGAGGACAGCACAGCTCTCACTTTGGAGTTTGTCAACACCATTCCTGACTCAGCCAGACAAGCTCATTGCAGGACTGGGAAGTGCACCTTCTTCCTCCTGCTCCAGCTGGAGGAAGCGCACTGCCTCCCCAAGGCTCCCCAGCTTCAGCATGCTGGCGACCAGGAAACAGAAGCTGGCAACTGAACAGAGGTCTCCTGCCCTTCCTCTTGAAGGGGTTTTAACAAGCTATTAGGAAGAGCTCCCCAGAACACTCTAGCAAACAGCATAATTCAGACCGCTGCTGTGCAAGGTGCCGGTTTAGCTGACACTCAGCCGTATATGGACAAGACAAATTTCTAAAAAGCAAAGTCACGATGTTTCAATATGACTATAATTATTATTTTTTTCTAGATAGCCTGCTATTGTTTTGCTGCAGAGAAATACACCTTCAAGAATTGGATTTGTTCAATTTTAGAAGTACAACTCTGTTTCTTATAGCTGGCACTACTAAACCCACTCTTAATTTTCATATTCAGTAAGCTATATTTTTGTCCTAGACCAAACCTGAGTTGGTCATTTAAAAACCTTTAATACCTAGTTCAAAAACCTCAGTGGGCTGTCACATAGTCTTTCCATTTGAGTACACCCCACTTTTTAAAAAGGGAGGAACACATTTCCTGATGGCCCATAAATGTGCTGCCGCTACTTGCATCATAGAACAGAACTTGTTCTACTGGTGGTTAGCTCAGTAATTCCATTTCATGAATTTCATGAAATTCCATTTCATCTTAATATGCTATTCCTTCTCCTTATACTGGGTATAATTTTTTTTTTTTTTTTAATCCAAAGCTGAATAATTTCAACATTTTAAAATGACTTTAACAGTTACTTCAAATTCTATCATAGAATCATAGAATGGCCTGGGTTGAAAAGGACCACAATGATCATCTAGTTTCAACCCCCCTGCTATGTGCAGGTCACCAACCAGCAGACCAGGCTGCCCAGAGCCACATCCAGCCTGGCCTTGAATGCCTCCAGGGATGGGCATCCACAACCTCCTTGGGCAACCTGTTCCAGTGTGTCACTGCCCCCTGCGTGAAAAACTTCCTCCTAACATCTAACCTAAACCTCCCCCCTTAGCTTAAAACCATTCCCACTTGTCCTATCATTATCCACCCTCATAAACAGCCGTTTCTCCCCCTTCCTCCCCCCCCCGCTTATATGCTCCCTTCAAGTATTGGAAGGCCACAGATTATTAAAAATGGATCTCTGCCATTAGCTCCTGCGTTCATAATTTTAGGGTGATATGATACCAAGGAAGACCTGACGCACCTTATCCTGAAGCACGTAAGAAATGAGAGTAAACAGATGAAATCTGAGGACGCACCCAGGGAAATCTAGGGACTTCCCTCAAAATTAGGGTTTATAGACTATAATCCCCTTGATGATAACTGAGTGATAAAACACACGTTGTTTGCATTTATAACAATTATCGAGTGATTTCATTGTTCCCATTGAAAAAAAGGCCTGCTTTTGTTCGTTGTTGATACAAAGTCACTCTTGTTGCAGACTAGGCACTTCCTACTTTACCTGGGTATTTTTATCGGCAGTACTTCGCTGTGTCTGAGACAAGCCTTATTCCTGTCTCTGAATGTAACTTCCCTCTCAAATTTGGGGAATATCAGCTCCACATCAGGATCCAAACTGCTTAGTATGGATCTGTCTTTCATCATGGTGAATCAACAGTCCGTGAATCTAAACAATGTCTTCATGTTGATTTTTTTTTTAATTGCACTTCCTTTTTAGCAAACAACGGAGGTTTATTTTCTTCTCTTCAGGACTGAAAACAGTGTTTACCATATGACCTTATTTTTAAAACTGCTGCTTCATTTGCAGGGGGAAGTCCTAATGACCTTGATCACCATGCAGCCTGGGAGCTTATTAATCAGGACTGGGTTTGGCAGGAAGGCAAGAAGCTCTCCTGCAATCAGATCTATTACCAGAGATCCCCCCACCTATACAGAAGCATCTTACAGATAGTAAAGTCCAGTACTTACACATGCTCTTTATTGCTAAGTATAATTGCAGGCTGAAGACTCAAAATTAGTTTGTAAGTGGATATTCTTCTTCTACTTGTAAGTTCTATATGTGCCCCGTTAGCTCTGAGCTTTGCATGCTGACAATTAATTTCCTTTTAAATTTCTCTCTGATACCTACCTACATTTTATTCTATGCTTAATATTCTGAACATAATGCATAGTATGTAGAAATGTGATTTTTCTTTTCCATTACGTTAGGGCGTGAACATTTCTCCGCCATTTCATTCTGTTCTGATATCAGTATAAATCTTTCCACTGACAGCAGATGCAGATCTGACCCGATGCCAGGCAATTGGGCCTGCATCGGGGGGATCTGTGCATTCTGCCAAGTTGCCTGAATGTTATATTTTTAAAATTATGCTGAAACAAGTCCCAGTGAACTTAAAGGAGAGCTATGGTGTAGCATTCTGCCAAGAGGAACTCACCTGTTTGCTGGTGGGAAAGGAAGCTTTTTTCCCTCCATCCTGAAGAAGGGCTTACTCTTTTCTCTTCTTTCAAGTTCCTTTAGTGCACTGATGTACACACAATCTGATGATCCACTGGACACTCAGAAAATTAGTGACAGATAAGATTATTTGGACAGACTTCCTAGTTGATTACAATGGAAGAAGGATATAAAAGGCAAATTTCAGTAAGAACGTACAATCATTCCCAATGACACAGTGGGAAAATCTCTTAGTATATCAAATAGATTTGCTGCCTGTGTAAATGCAGAGCTGTGTTCTCCAGCTTTACTGCTGTAAATGCATTTTATGCACCTTTATTTTGTTAACAGTGCAAAGCTGTGGGAAGATGTGCCATTTTCTAAATTCTAACGAGCTTCCAATTACAGAAACACGATCATCAGTGATCGTATGCTTCTGAACAAATCAAATCACTCTTACGGCCCAGTTAGATTTTATGGTACTGTCAATTAGAAAATAAACAAAATCCCTTAATGAGTAAACAGGGAAAATTTTGATACTGGAAGCACAGAGAAATCATAAATCTGTCAAAGCCATTTCCACAACATCATTTTTCAGAGCGGAGCAGCTCTTAAAATCTGACAAAATACTGCCCTGCTAGCAGCAAGCGATAGTTCTTCTTGCTGCAGCAATCTGTAACGTTTTGGGAATGGCTTTAAACTAAAGGAGGGGATGTTTAAGTTAGATGGTAGAAAGAAATTCTTCACTCAGAGGGCAACGAGGCCCTGGCAGCACCACTCAGAGAGCAGTGGGTGCCCCATCGCTGGGGGTGCCCAAGGCCAGGCTGGATGGGGCCCTGGGCAGCCTGAGCTGGTAGGGGGCAATCAACCCACAGCAGGGGGTTGAAGCTGGGTGGGCTTTGAGGTCCCATTCAATCAGAGCCATTCCGTGATTGTATGAGATGTGTGTACTGAGAGCAGAACAGCCTAGCAAGCAGCAGGGAGGCTGGGAGGCAGCGCCTAGCCTCGTGGCCTGGGTTGCTACCCAGTCCCCAGGCAGCCCCACTTGCTGTGGGAAGGGATATTGAAATATCCTCTAAGTGATACCGCATTATTGAATCAATCAGGATTTAGGAAGTGCAGGGAAAACCTGCAGTGTGCTAAGTAGATTTGTATGGCTTCAGAAAAGCTTCACAAAGTTGCTCTGGCACTGTATAGGAGCCACACACTTTCTGAGCAGCAGAGGTGCCACGAAACCACCGGGACCCGTGCTTTATGCCTGCTTTTTGGAGTTCACTGCCGACACTTTGAGAACGCTTTCACGAGACCAGACAGCGGGCTGTGAACGCCGACAGCTTCCCGCAGCCCTAAGCCGGGAGAAGCCACAAAGCGACCCGCACCCGGGGCTCTGGCAGCGGGACGGCGGTGCCGCTCAAGGAGGGCAGCCCGAAGCGGGACCCGGGGCCGGGCAGGCGGCGGGCTGAGGGGAGCAGCGAGGCGGAGCAGGGCGGCCCCACAGCGCGGCGGGGCGGGCGGGAAGCGGCGCGGCGGCGGTAGGACCCGGCGGCCGCTCCCCGGAGGATGTGAGCGAGCGCGTGTGGGACGAGCCCGGCTCCGACTGCGGGGAGCTCGGCCCTGCGGCTCCGGGGGTGCTGCTGCGCGAGGCGAGAGGCGCAGCCTCCTCCTCTCGGCCGGAGGCAGGAGCGAGGCGGAGCGGCGGGGAAGGCAGGCCGGCAGCCCGCGCGAGCCCCATGGGCCGAGCGACTGCGAGAAGGGGAGGAGGAGCCGGCCCGCCGCCCGCCGCCCGGGGATGGTGAGGAGGCGGCGGCTGCCGTGAGCCCAGTTAGGCCTTCGCTCGGCGCCCGCCCGCCGGGCTCTCCCTTCCTCCGCTCGCTCGCTCCCCCCTTCCCTCCCCTTCCCCTGCCTCCTTCCCCTGCCGCCGCCGCCGCCCTCCCATCACCTCCTCCCCGGGCTCCCGCAGCCATGTAAGTGACCCGCTCCCCGGGGGTGGGAAGGGCCGGGGGAAGGAAGCGCCGGGGCCTGCTCCGCCGCGCGTTGTGCGGGGCCGGGAGGGGCGGCCAGGCGAGGCGAGGCGGCCGCTCTCCGCCTTCCCCGGGCGGCGGCCGCCGGGCGCCCGCTGACCCGCGTAGGCCGCGGCGGGGGCTGCTGCCGGCCCGGGCTGGGGCACCGCGGGGCCGCGCGTGGTGTGCTGTGTGGGGGGGGAGAGGGCTGCGGCCCCGCCGGAGCCGGGCCGGAGGGCTCGGGGCGAACAGGAAGCCGTTGGCTTCCCTGGGATGCGGGGGATGGAAGCGCTGCGGGGTGGGGGGGCTCCCCCGGCCGCCCTCGGGGCCTGCTGCGGCCGCGTCGTCCCCGAGCATCTCCGAAGGAAAAGGGGCTCGGGGCAGAGGGAGGCACGGGGCATTTCCCAAAGTGTGGCACGGAAAGTGGCCGAGCGCTCTTCCATCTCCTCCCCCCGCCCCCATTTTCTCCCTTTATCTTTTGTGCGGCCCCGCGCTGCGTTGCGGACCGGGGGTGTGAGTCTGAGTGTGTGTGTGTGTGCCGGTGCCGGGCAGTGCTGCTGGGCCCCATCGCTTTGACTTCTTCTTGCGGTGGTGTTGTGCAGAGCTGCGGGAAGCTGCCTGCAGCCGATACCCCCTCCATCCCGTCACAAACCCCCCAGGTGGAGTTCTGCAATCACTGAAACGTTCCTGCAGACTTCTAGGACTTTTCCCTTGGATCCTTTGTGGAAGGCAGAATTCTATCAGAGCATGTGAGCACGCTGTATTTGCTGTGTGTTTTACTGACAGAAAGGTACTGATGCAGGTTGCGCCTTATTGGGATTCCCCCTGCCCCTGGGAAAGGATTTAACCATTTTTTTCTCTGGTTTATTGTTCTTCCATCCCACCCATACAAGAAGCTAATCCCTGCTTTACTTTTGTTTGTTGTATTTATGCCACCAGGAGGGATGTACATTTCGAAATACAGTTACAAAGGGGCGTTACTAACACTTAATTCAGAAGAATATTTGTTTACAGGTAAATAAATGTAACACGGTCTATGACTAGTAATTACCTTTTTGTAGCAGCTAATTTCCTGATGACAGCCACAGCATTTGTCTGAGTTAATAGATTTAAAGGCACTGTGGAACTACCTTTGATTTTTTTAAATAGGAGGGTTTTCCTTGTGTACATTGTGTATAGAACTGCTTTTGGTTCTGAGCTACAGCAGTAAATCAAATCTAAGAATTGATCCAGTGTCCGCAAGTAACCTGTAGCTGGGGCATTGCTGGCTTATAGAAACAACCTGTAAGTAATTACGAATAGGATGAAATAGGTTCATGAGTGACTTGGTTTGTTTGGGAGACAGAACAAAACTTCTGTTATAAATACTTTGAAATGGAATTTGATTAAATGCATCTTAAGTTGGTACAGAAGTTCTGAGCAGCACAGTCATTAAATTATATGAGGGTAAACTGTAAAAGGCCTTCTTCTTGTTTAGGAACATAAAGAAGATTTTGTCTAGCCTATGTCTTTGACAGAGAGTATGAAGAGATCTCTTTTTCTGCCATTGCTTAGTTTTGAAATACGCAGTTCAGTTTGTCCTATCAAACTGCAGTTGTGGTTGCAGCTTGGACAGCTGCATGTCGTAATTCTGGCCCCTCACCTGAACAAAATCAACCTCCTGTCTATTGATTAGTGAAGACCTGAGAGCACAGGCATTCCAAATTGCAGCTTTGTAAACCTAGATTGTGCTGATGGATTGGAAGAAGAGTGGATGTGGCTTTAGAGATCTTTTTTCTTCTCTGCTTACTGTTTTTCCCGCAGTTCTTAGTGTCAGAGAAGCATTTCTAAACCTTGTGATAAGCTGCACATACAATCATGAAATACTCATTTAGACATGGTGTTCTAAATGGAACATCACATGAGCTAGTAGCAAATATTTGTGACCATGCCTAACTCATGGTCCACAATGAATTTTTGTAAAGCAAGCTAAGATGCTGGAACAACCTGGTCCTTCTGTGCTCTCTTGAAAGCTGTCTGCCCAGATTGAGTAACTGGGTCATGGTGTGAAGCCTCTGTGAGTTCGTGGGGCCTTGAGTGCTTTGGAAGCACTGCTTCTCCTGGGTAGGATTTGCATAATGCAGGAGATGTACTTCACCGGTCAGAGCCTGGTGGAGATACTTCTCCGTACGCTCTACTTAAAATGTTGGCTGGAGCCCAACTTTGTTGTGCTTGTGCCATTTGGATGCAGTTGGCTGTGAGCTTAAAATGAGACCAGGGATATGCTGCAGAAAGAGAGCGCGGGTTGCTTGTGTGATGCATGGGCCCCAAAACACGCACCTCTGCTCCCCTGCAGTTCTTGTGCAGCTTGCTACCATGTGACAGTGCCTTGCAACCAAGGTGGGCAGCTGGGTCCTTTTTTGAATGGTTCTGCTGTTGTGTGTTAAGGGAACGTGCACGGATGTGTGTCACGTGAGGGCATCAGGGCTGCCAGCCTGCATCCCGTAATAGGTGTTGGGATGGGCAAAGCGCTAGTCCAGGAGCGTGCTTTGCTGTAACCTGCTTTCTGATCTGTGCTGACTGGCACAGCCAGCGTGCTGAGTGAGACAGGGGTGGGACTGAGGCTGGTGGGTTTGATCTTCCTCGGAGAGAGGCTTACTCCTTCACAAAGATGAAGTCATTACCGTGATGCTCCTGCATCCCATACGCTTGTTTCAGATTCACTGTTAATGGAAGAATTAATTTTCTTCCTGCTCTGCTTTCAGGTGTGAATAGAAAGGAATATAAAATTTGACCTTGGAAAGAAGGTGAATTGAGAAGGACAAATTGATCTCTTGATTTCAGGGGTATTTTGGAACAAGAGAACATGAATGTAAGTACAAGAACATACAAAAAAAGGAGCTTTCCCAAATACAGGAAAGATGATTCTGCTCCACCTTCTGTTTAAGCTGATTCCTTAAAGCAGGCTTCGTTGTATCAGTGCACAGGAAAATGAGTTATCTCATTACTGATGAAAGCTAATAACCTTTAGGGAATTAATGTATGCATAAGATCAGTATTCACTGGGGCACAATGCTGATGTTGTGCTATTTGTGATTTGCTGCGCTTCCGCTGTGTGAGGAATATTTTGGTATTGAAAAAAGTATTACAGAAAGCGTATTGAAAGTCCAGCAAACTGAATGCTGAGAGAAAGACAGAGTTGTTTAGCTTTTGACAGTACTCAGTCATGTGCAGACACAGACTGAAGCAGCCAGGTCATACTTACCTCAGATGCCCTCTGCTCACTGGGAACCATTCCTAGATGGCCATAAAGGAGGGCTGTAATAATTCTTTTTTTTTTTTTTTTTCTTCTCTCTAAAGATTTTATGCAAATGGAACTTTCTCTGGTTTACACATCTTCAGAAATACATTGGCCAGTAGTTAACTTTCTCCTCTATTCCAGGAAATTACCTTTATTTGCTAGCGCTCTATTTGATTACCTTTTGTTTAAATACATTTATTAAGTACAACTTGGATGTGTATTTTGAAGTACCAGCTAGAGTGAGTTTGCTGCTGTTGGAGCTTTGGACATTCTATTGCACAGCGAGAAGGCATTCCCAACTCTAAGTAAAGTTCCCCCTTACAAAATAAATGCTTTGGCATTGCTGAAGGAACAAGGTGGAGCCAATGCTGCAGTGTGGTGGAAAGAGCTGGGCAGGTAGACACATCCCTGATGGCAGTGCTGCGCTAACAAGTGGAGGATGCTTCTTGTATAGGAATTGGAGGTGGAGGGCAGTCCAGGCTTTTCGGACAACACTGGAAACTGGAAAACTGAAAACTGATCATTGGGTTTTGTTGCTGACTTGCTGTTTTCTGGTCTGCATAGTCACTGATTCAGATTGAGATGACAATTTAGGCTGTGAGGAGCAGGAGGCTGCCAGGTGGTAATTCTAGCAAGTGTCAACACAGAAAAACCTGCAGTATGTTAGTTGGAGGTTCTATGATTTTGTGCCATCGCACTTTTTTCTGGTATTAGTAAAAGGATGGTCCTTTCTACAGACTAGTTTGGTTCATAGCTTTTTTTTTTTTTTAAAGTATGAATCTTGAAAAGGATGTTGATTGCTTAACATGTTGAAATTGTAGAATTGAAGACACAGAGATAGGCTACGCAGACCCCACTTTCTGTTACAGCACCATGGTAGATGCGTTTATTTTCACACCTTGGTGTTGTGTTTCCTTACCTAAGCTGTGATAATCTTAGGGGTTTTGCTCAACGCTTTGCAGATCTCTCGATGCTGAAGTGAAGCCTTTAGCAAGGTTTGGTCTCTTGTTGGTGTCAACAAGTAGATCTAGCTGGAGTGACTGTTGTGCATGCATTTTTTGAAAGGAGAGTGAAAGCCTGCTGTGTTCATCAAGTTATGTCTTAATTGCTCTGGATCTGAAGGAGTTTGTTCGAAGACAACTGGTGGCTGTGGGTTGCTGGTCTCTATTCTGCAGCATATGGTTCTCACATATTTATTTATGAAATTAAGAATTCTTACAAGTCTCTTGTTCTAATGTCATTTTTTTGTGTGTTTTCCCTCCCTCAGGCAAACGTCGTATCTGTTTCTTTGAGACGATAATTATAAGCAGTCAGAAATGGCAGATTCATAATTTGGAAAAATATCTGCTGTTTCCAGGGGAGAAAAAAAGAACCAAAAAATAAAATGTTATTGGAAATAGTGATAAATAGTTAAAGTTCATAGGTAAAAATACTAGGATTGGCTTTTTTTCTCTCGCATCTCCTCCCTGTCAATTTCTGCTTCTAGTGACCATTCAAATTTGACTTCTTTGCTTTGAAAATAGTTCTAGAGCACTGGCAACAAATGGTACAGGCCCCTCTGTCCTTGCCAGTGTCTCAGTTCTGGGTTGGATTCATTTTGACCACCTGCTTCTTCCATCAAGGGTTGTGTCTTAGTGAGCTATGTGAAATTAGTTGCTTTTTAATCTGGTTTCTGATGAGTATCACCTGCGTGCTCACAAATAATTGATGCGTACACGCCAAATGCATGCAGAGATGATATATATTTGTTGGTGGGAATGTGATGCCTCGATGTTTGGAGAGAGACCAGTAAAAGCCAGGTCTTTGCTGGCGTGTTACAAGTGCTGCTGTTAGTTGTTACTTAATTATTGCTTAGAACGTGTCACTAGTTAGATTTTTTTGATTGCTTAAGCAGTATCAAACTGGATGAACAAATGCATGCTTCTGAGAGCTCAGAAGTCATTAAAGAAAAGCTACATAGATATATAGTATAGAACTGTACCACAAGCAGAAAAGATAATAATATTCAATTTAGAAAAAGAATAAAAGCTGATGTGTCTAGGAAGAGCTACTTTCAGTGAAGGAGAGAAAGATGAAAAACATTCGTGTGATAGTCAGCCATGAGACAGCCAAATCTTATTGAAAATGTATCTATTTTGAGCTACTTAGATATAGACTTCATATCATAAAGCAAGACGGTAGAAATCCTAAGGTGTCCTTAGGTTATTTCATTGCAAGAAAGAGCAGCAATCTGCAGTGAGTTACAGAAACATGATAAAATTGATCAGGGTGCTTCTAAGGGCTGATTTAGGATAACATGGGCTTATCTGAGAATCTTTGTAGAGAGGCAGGAATTATATCAAAGATAGAAAAGGTGATTTTGGGGGAAGACAAGGAGATTTGAGTGAGATAACAGGATAATGTGCAGCATGGTCTTGGGAATTTTTACTCTTGGGCGCATATCCCTAAGATGCACCATGTATGTGTTGATAGACTGATACACAGCAGGCTGTAAATAAACCTTCCTGAGGGGATTCTGGAAGTCTTACCAGGAAATATTTAGGACTCGACTTTGCTGAGTCTTGGATTTTTTCTTGTTGAGGGCAGTTTGATGCTGTTGGAGAGCTGGAAGGGCAGGGACTTGCAGCCACGTCTAATCTAGACAGAGTGGTGATACTGTGAGTCTACCAGCAGTCAACCAGCTTAGTGAGGAAGCAAGGCTTCAGTAGGCACTTCTTCCAGCAACTTCACCTGCTGAGATACAGCAGTCCCTGTGAAGAACAAAGCCCTCATTTAACATTTGTAATAATAGTTTAAAAAAAAAAAAAATGCCAGCAGTGAAAACTACTCCCTGTTATCTCCCTGTTATACCCGATTTAACGTATGTGATGTACTTCAAATAATGGTGGGCTTTTTTTTGTTTGTTTGATCCTTTTAGAAGTAGCTGAGAAGAAGAAAGACAAGAAAAAAACACCCTTTTGTGGACCCTTCTGCTGGAGTTCAGAAATTTCAACAGTGATCTTTTGACATAAACTGATCTACCAAGAGACATTCCCGCCATTATGAATGAAGTAGCGATAGTGAAGGAAGGATGGCTCCACAAACGAGGTAAGTGGCTCTCCTCTTCAGGACGACTGGTGTTGGGTCCTGCAACATGGGATCTGCCCTTTAGCAAGGTATATTTACATAGTCAGTTCTTATTTTCCTGCTCGCCTCAGTGGGAAACTGCCTGTAAGGAGTGTATGTGACTTTCTGTCAAGCTGAGCAAATGCATTACAAGGGGATTTCTTCGGGTTCGTGCATATGCGTGTGTTCACATAAAACTGCAACAGCTCTTTGGTTTGAAAATGATTATGAAGATAGCAACCAGAGATGATACTTAGAGTGTTAAAGGTTCAGCTGAGGCAAATCATTTGTTTTATATGTAGATCTGTAGCTTTTCTTTTTCCGTTTGTATGCTATTAGAAGGTAGAATTGTCTTGAAGTGAAGCTTGATTTGAATGGTGATCAGTCTTTGCGAGCAGTGCCGTTCTCTTGCAGAGACTTGCCAGAGAACACGTTTTTCTGTTTGCCTGAACCTCTCTTGGTATTGGTGCCCCGGACACAAAGAGCAACCTTGAGTTTGTGCACTCTGTGTTTCTGCTTTACCGCTAACAAAGAATGATTTTTATCCAAAATTTTCTTGACTGGATGGCAAAACTGCAGTAACGTAGTCACATGTACCATTGTGCTTTTTGCATTCTTAAATGTTGTATTTCCAAAACGCCGGATTTGTACTTAATTTTTGAGAGGATAGACGGGTGTTTTCAGCACCGCTCTTGGCTTACCTGCTTCTTTGTATTCTGCTATTGTTTTTTGTAAGAGAGAGAGCAGTGCTAGGTACTTTCCTTAATATCGTCATTTTTTGGATCAAAACCAGAACCTGTGTGCTCCAGCAGTAGGGAAACTTGTATGGTTTTGCAAACTCAGGATTTTTCCAGAGGGTTTGCAACAACATGCCTGAAGGTGCAAAGGTATAGTGTAATTATTTTTGGAAGAAAATGGAAATTCATTATCATAACCTTGATAAAGGCTGATCATTCATCTGCAACAATGAAGCTTATAATCCATGGTTTAATAGGGTGGAAGCTGGATGCAGTTTAGCAAATTATCTGATGCTTGATGTAAAAGTGTTTTGATAAGTTTTTTTTTCATGTTTTTGTTCTGGTCTGTTTTACTTAAAAGCAAGGATATGAATGCTCCTATTCACTCATTACCTTCAGTAATGCACCAGATAATTCTGGTGTACTCAGGCTGCCTTATTCTGGTGATGAAGTTGTGAATTACACTGTTTGGTTAGAACAGGAGGAGGAAGAAACACAAAATCATGTTTCCTGTTCCCATTTATGTATCTAGAAACTCATTAAATAAGTGATACATTTTTAGTTTTAAATGGCATACTTAGACTGCAGTGTTTTTTTTTAATCTTCTTGTTACAGGTTTTTTCTGTACTTTTTTTAATTTTTTTTTTTTTTGAGGAACACTGCACAAAAAATCTAAGGGAGACATATTTAGTTTTAAAAATCTGAAAATGGAATTTGCAAACCAAACAGATTATCAGGATGATCCAGGTGTTTCTAAAACTTTAAAGCAGTCATATTTCAGTCTTGTTTTTATTTAGCCTTGAGTACTGAATTCACATTGTTTCTGGAATTACAATGAATCTGCTTTCATGTAAGGAGACCTTTGCAGGATGCTCTGATCTCTTGATCTGATACTTTTCTTTTTCAAATCACCTTACAGAATCAGATTGTTGTCTCAGATGGCTTGCTGATAGTACTTTGAAATTGTCTGTAGAATGTATTTCCATTTCCAAAATGTTACTCTGCAAGTTCTGCATAATTGAGATTGCAAATTTGTGCCTAAACTGTCAAATGTGTCTTGGTGGTTCTTGGATGCCAGTTGTCCCAGCCTTTTTTAACCAGTTCCCCATTGCTTTTTTGCCTTCATGGTAGGTACAGTGAATCCTACCTCACCCTGCTTAATACATTTTGCCACTGTTAATTTGGCATTGTCCAACTGGTTTTAGAAAGCAGTGCTGTATCTTCACAGCTTACCCTGGTGTATTCTGTGTGCCAGTTCCGTTACTCTCTTAATTGTTGTAGCTGCTGTGAGATCTGTTGAGAAACTCAATTCTTTTGGCTTGGGGGAGGGGAATCTGATCCATTTGTGTATATGTTTTGTAAATGACTTTTCTTTTTAATCACTTATTGTCAGACCCTATCAGTTTGCTTGCTCTGCAAGATGAAGTGCAACAACCACAGGATGTTTCCAAAACTGATGTCTGATACTGTGAACTTCTGAAGTCAAGGCATAAACAGTAATTACTGCAGGGAGGGACTGCTAAAGGATTTTAGATTTAGGAAATGTATATTGTTTGTCTTATAAAACTGAAGGTTGGACTGCTTGTGGTCTTTGAAGGTCCTAGGGCTTTTCACATGCAAATATTTTGTAGCAACTGGCCAAAATCCAGGTTGGGCAATTAACATTCTCTCTACCTAAAATTTCCCCCGTAGCTTTGGTTGGATATGGTATCTCTTAGTTCATGTCCTGAGCAGTTGAACAGCGTGACTGTGTGCAGTTGCTACATCTCAATTAAGCAGAGGCTTAATTTTGGTAGTTTTAATGATTTGTGTATGTATAAATCAGTTGGTAAAGTGCTCTGGAGTCCTTCTGGATGGCAGGTGTATGTAAGCATAAAGCCATCATTATCAGGAGCAGGTGTTTTGGCCTGGCAGAGAAATAGCAGGGCTTTCTAGAATTCTAGGGTTGTTTTCTTCTGTCAGCTTGCTTTACATTTTGGTTTTTGTTTCCAAGATTAAAAATACAAATGGAGAAATGAAATTAAACATCTCTGCCTGGTTGCGAGCTCTTGGCAGTTCTGTAAGTCAGTCGCTTAAAGGAAGTTCTACTTCCAGTAGCACAGATGTTTGTTTGTGCAGAGGCCAGAGTCATCTCCATGACATGCCTAACCTCAACCAGGCAGAAATGTAAGAATTCATGAATGAACTTTTTTCCCACTTGGCAGCACTTGTTGCTATTACTCCAGTCACAGTGAGGCGACAGACTCTTGCAAGACAAAAACGGTAGTTAAATTACTAACCAGTTTGTGCAGAACTGTATAGCTGAAGCCTTTACACATACACGTGAAAAGCACGGAGTGAAGAAACTCTGATTTGGGGCGGTGCATTGTGTGTGTATTCAGCACATGTAGTCTCTGAGAGTTAAGTAGGGGGATTGTTCATTGGGACACATGGGGGGAAACGTGTAGCTACAGAGATGCTATGCTCGTGGTTGTATATGAAAGAACAAGGAGAAAAATTATCTGTCTAAACTGCTGCTTGCTGAAATATTGAGATTACTGGTTTTCTAGATGTTTATAAGTTGTATCTTTACTTCTGGTTGTGCACTGTGGAACTTCTAGATAAAAGAGAAATACCTGAGTGCATTTCATGAACTTTGCTGCTTCATTTTTAAAGATCTCACTGGATTTCTCATATATTCCTGCTCTGGTCCCTGCTTATGAAAGTCCTTCTATTGTCTTCAGTCTTCATCCTGTTTTTTTTAAGTCTTTCTGCAAGGCTAACAAAGAGTGGGATTGTGCATGCTGATGCTCTGTCATCTCTGTCTTCCCTACTACATCCGGTTTTCCTATTAGGGCATAAACTCAATGGAGAGAGGAGTCTTTGGAGAGAGAGAGGGTAGGACGGAAGGAGGGGGAGGGAAAAATGTACGCTGACATTTATGAAAGGAAATAGAAATCTAGATTTCTCACTCTGAGAACTTTGAAGCAATTTTGAGCAATAGGAGAAACATCATGGATGTGTATTCATCCATTAATATTTGGCAGCAAATGGGGAGCTACTTTCTTGTTTGTTTTTAAATAGCATAAGAACACAGTGCAGTGATTTTAACCATGAAAACCAGAACATGTCCTCCAAATGTCAATTTGTGTGGGCTTCTGGCCGAACAGACTATTTGAGTAGTTGAAGTCTAGCTGCCATTCTGATGAAAATTGCTAAAGATGCTTAGATGAGAGATTACACAAAAGATACTTATTCCGCTGCTGGAAATACTACTAAATTTGTTAAAGAATTGTTTCTGTAATGAAATGGAGTGACACAGATGTTCTAATAAATAACTACAAGTCCTTGGTGGTTTGCCTTCTTACAGCTATATTGCGTAAAATAAATGCAGGATCCTGATACAAAATAAAAGCTAAGAGTTAAACACTGATTGTTGCTCTTTTCACCTTATTTAGCAGAGTAATGCAGACTGTAAATTTTACTTCTGTTATTTTGAGCACAACTTCACACTTCTAGTGTTCTGTTAGTATCAATCAAAATGGGATCGTAAGATGTTTGACCAGAAGTTAACTCTCTTTCAAGCCAGTGAGTTTCAAGTCTTGTGTTGCCATTGTCCTTCACCTCTTCTTTCTTTTCTCTTTCCCGTTTTCATCATGTTCTCTACTTCTTTTTGTATGTTGTGTGTTTGCTTTATTTTGGGGTCTTTTTTTTTTTCTTTTTTTTTCTCTTTACCTTGGCTTCTGTCTGTCTCTGGGTTGTAGCCGGGTGCTTTCTTGATGACCTGTGTAACCAGAGCCATCAAGGTTCACATTAGTTCAAGGAACGTCTGGCTTTCATGGTATTTCAAAGGAGTGGCTGGGGCATTTGATACAAAGGATCCTAAGGCACATCTGAACTCTGAAGATGCCAGCTATAGAGACGCGCAGCTGCTTCAGAGGGAAAACTGAGGGTAAAAGGAAAGGTAAGAAACAAGATAGGAGCTGAACAAAGAGTAGAAGGGGGAAGTTTGTAACAGAGGGATACAATCTGATGTCACTTCCAGAGCTGAAGGCTTGGGTGTAAAGGGAAATCTCTTGCTGTTCCTCTTGAAAACAAAAGATAAGCTGTGTCAGTTAGTGGTTTTTGTTGTGTGTCTCTTTTTCAACACAAGGGGCAATAGTTTTGCAATGCTAGCTCTGGGTTGCTTTCATTTTTGCTAGCACTGTTCTGGGAAAAGGGAACTGGGGAGGAACCAGGAAATTATCGACCAATAAATCTGACCTC